GACAAGAAGAAGAAAGGAAAGACGCTTATATGTGGAGACTTTAACTGCGTACTGGACCCAGCTCTAGATAGGACCGGCAAACCCTGTTCCCACTTGCGATCAACACAGCTAGGGTTAAAAGTGACAGCACTCCTCAACTCACACGGCCTACACGATACATGGCGTTCGCTATACCCAGCATCTAAAGACTACACGTTCTACTCCAAGGTACATGATAGATACTCCCGGATAGACATGTGTTTAGTGGATGTGAAAACGCTAGATACCCTGGAGGAGGTATCGATTGCCCCCTTGACTTGGTCAGACCATGCCCCCCTCACTTCAGTCTTTACCACGCTCCACCCGGTCCGGGGTCGGGGACAGTGGAGACTAAACGAATCACTGATAGACAATGTGGACAGGGCGGCCGAGATAAGGAGTGCCTTGGCGCACTACTTTGTAGATAACCACTACACCGACACGAATGTCGCAATGACATGGCTTGCCCGTAAGGCAGTAATGCGCGGTCTGCTAATACGACATGGGGCAAAACTGAAGCGCCAACTGACAGAAAAAAGTAAGACCCTACTGACCGACTTAAAACAAGCAGAAACACGACACAAGACCTCCCCCACACACTCCAACAGGCAGGAGGTACAGAAGTTAAGGGCCACTATAGAAGCACTACAGATGCAGCAAGTGGAACGGGCAATTTGCAAAATGAAAACCAACTACTATAGACAGGGTAACAGAGCGGGCAAAATATTAGCCTCCCAACTCAGGGAACGCACCTCGCAGGTAAAGATCCCATATATTAAGGACGACACGGGCACCAAGATTAGAAACCCCAAAGCGATAGTAGACAAGTTTGCCCAATTTTACGCAGGGCTATATAACCTGTCTGGAGACACCAACCAACACCAACCCAGTCCCCAAAATATTACTTCCTTCCTAGACGGAGTGACTCTCCCTCGACTTTCCAACGAACAGGCGGCTGCACTGACCAACCCAATTGCAGCATCTGAAGTATCAAAGGCTCTACACGATACGCCCAGACACAAAGCCCCAGGCCCAGACGGCTTCTCAACCCACTACTACAGGGTTTTTGAGGACCAGCTACTCCCCCATCTCACGGCCCTATTCAACCACATTCTAGAGTCGGGGGAGATACCCCCAGAAATGTTGGAAGCCACCATTATTACGCTCCCTAAACCAGGCAAAACTACTGATACATGCGCACACTACCGCCCAATCTCACTCCTCAACGCTGACACAAAATTGTTCGCCAAGACCCTTGCAAACAGAATACGCCCTACACTAGCTCAATTAGTATCCCCAGAACAATCAGGGTTTGTCCCGGGGCGACAAGTAGAAGATAACACCAGACGAGCCCTTGACGTAATGGAACTCATGATTAGAGATCGGTCACAGGGCTTAATAATGGCCTTAGACGCAGAAAAGGCCTTTGACAGACTCCACTGGGGTTACATGACAGAGGTCCTGCGTAGGTTCAACTTCCCGACAAAATTCCTAGCTGGGCTCTTATCCCTCTACTCATTCCCCCAAGCCACAGTCATGAACTCTGGTTTCATTTCCAGCAGATTCGCCCTATCGAACGGCACAAGACAGGGATGCCCCCTATCGCCCCTCATTTTTATCCTGGCACTGGAGCCCCTGCTCCATAAAATCAGGACTAACCCCTGCATCCTAGGCGCCCCCTCCCCGACAGGCCCGCAAAAAATGGCAGTGTTCGCTGACGACATCCTTCTCTTCCTAACAAACCCTCCGGACTCCCGACCCGCCCTCCTGGACCTACTACGGGACTACGGCCAGGTCTCGTACTACAAAAATAATGTAGCGAAAACACAGGTACTCCCGCTTAATATGCCCAGTTCCCAACTCACGACCCTACGAACGTTATACCCCTTTGAATGGAGGAAGGATACCATTTCCTATCTAGGCACACAACTAGCACCCTCCAAACAGCTCCTCATAAAACATAACCACGGGCGACTCACAGCAAAAATAGAGCAGGTGCTGGAGGGCTGGGGAAGCAAAAACGGACACACATCCTGGTTGGGGCGCATAAACGCCGTGAAAATGATTATACTACCGCAAGTATTATTTCTATTCAGGGCCCTACCCATCAGTTTACCAAACTACACCCTCCGAGCATTTCAGCGACTCATCAACGCACACATATGGAGGAAAAAACCAACCAGAGTCTCACTAGCAAATATTAGCACAGCCATGGGGGGAGGCGGGGTGGGTGTGCCACACATAACCAAATACTACCTAGCAACAAACATATCTCAGACGGCGCGCCTCCTCTCCACCTCGAATTGCCCACTGTGGCACCAACTGGAAAGTGCTGTCTGTGCGCCTTACTCCCTTAGGGACTCACGAACCCTCTCACAACAACCAAGCTGTTCCTGCAGCTATGGCTGAGATGGGCCCCAAAAATGCTTAGTGTAAAGATAGAGACCCTTGCCCCACTGACAAGTCTCCAGCACCACACACATGACCTGGATCTGGGCGAGTGGGTGGACAGGGGGCTGACGCAGATAACTCACCTCTATGGAGCAAATGGGCTCCTAGCGTTCCCGGACCTCCAAAGCCAATACCACCTACCAAACAGCGAAATATTCACATATTTACGCATAAAACATATCTTAGGGGCCACCGGCAAGGAAAGGACACCAACACAACCCCAAAACCACTTTGACTTGCTATGCCAAGGTCAAAAAACCCCCAAAAAACCACTCTCCCTGTGTTACCATAGGTTGCTAGACATAGATAGACCGGCCAAACAATCATACATGCTCAAATGGGAAAAAGAATTGAACTGTGAACTCGAGAATGGGAAGTGGATAGGGACCATGACACTGGTTAAACGGGCGACAAAGTGCTTGGACCATGTAGAAGCAGCCTACAAGATGTGGATGCAGTGGTACTACATGCCACACAGGTTGGCCCAAATATACCCAGGGGTGCAGTATAGATGTTGGCGTTGCAGCCAACAAGGGGGAAACACGAGCCACATATTCTGGTACTGCCCGGCACTCAGCCAATACTGGCAACACATCCAAGACATAATTAAATCCAAACTAGGAAAACAATTACCACTCAAACCCGAACACTATCTGCTCCACATGCTACCCCGAGACTTTACAGCCTATGAAGCAGTGCTGACTACCCACATCACCTTAGCAGCTAAAACGTGCATAGCCGCCTTGTGGAAAACAACGACAGTACCTGACATAAAAACAGTACTCGCCAAAATAAGCCTCACCCAACAGTACGAGCAGATGGCACATACAATAGGTGGCACATTAGAACACTACAACAGGACATGGTCCAAGTGGTGATGCCTGGGTGAAGGACGAATTACGCCCCATCTAGCTGACAAACTATGCCCCACCTAGCCTCCAAGCACGAGAGCATCTCTCCCCCCCCCCGTACTACACCCTTATCCCAGTTCACCCCCCCCCATACACAAAATAAGGGCTTACGTTGCCCTATCGAGCCTTAAAATATGAGATGATGAGCAGGTGAATTAGTTCCCAGTCTACAAGACACGACACTACACAAATAAACAAGCAACACGCAAAGGTGATACAAACCCGGTTGCTAACCATCGGGCCCACCCCAAAGAAGAGTGGAGGATACAGGTGGGAGGCTGACCACCGGAGGCCAGGGAGAAGCCACTTAGAGGCATGATAACACACACCAGAAAGCATGCCCAGTCTACCGGGTACTAAAATCAGGGCACTACTCACCACCTGTAACAAAAGCATGATTGTTGCTTGAAACAACACTCTGTACCATCACTACGAGGATGTATTGTAAAATGCCATTGTACAATGTTATCACTATATACTCTCTGTTATGCAATATGTATGAAACGTAAAATGTAGGTTAAAGTGTCAATCCGAAACCTTTTCATCTCAATAAAAATGAAACATTTATAAAAAAAAAAAAAAAAAAGGGTTTCCAGGAGAACTGAGATTTTCGTTATTTATTTTTTTCAATTTGCCATTCAATTTTTGTTTTGGTTACGTTTACTGTTCCGGAGTTTGTTTTTTTACTTTTACTGCGCTAGACTATTTTTATGAACAAGTTCAACCTATGCGTGGGGGGCATGAGTGTACTCAGGAGGCCTTGCAGAAACCAAACTGGAGTGTTTTCTTGCAATAACCAACAATAGACTCCACTAAATTACACACAAATGTGTGTGTTAAAATGAAAATTTAAAAATTACCACCACACAATCACTCAAATATTTGGGGCTAAAACAGTTCTATCAAATGCATCAAAACACTCCATAAACAATACCTTGGGGTGTCAAATTTCAAATATGTGCACGTCCATGGCAAGAAAATAAATTGTGAAATGTAAAAAGGCCCCCAAAAAGAAGATATGTCAAATTTGAAAAACACACGTCAGAAGTTTGGCATTGCACCCCCCAAACAACCCAACAAACCTATGCATAGGTGGTATCACTGTACTCAGGAGATGTTGCTGAACACATATTGGAGTGTTCTTTGTCAGTAACATATAACAGGAACTGAGAATCCATGCCTAAAGTACAATGTGAGAGAAAAATAACAAAAAAATGACTACCCAAAAGTTTGCCAAAGACTGGTTGTATAATTAGTGCATGGAAAGTTTGAAAATACCACCATTTGAAATATCCTAGGGTGTCTACTTTTCAAAGATATATTGTTTGATGGGGGGTAAATTACATTGGCCGGCTTAAAAAATGTCCCAAATAGGACATGGGTGCATGATGACCAGCTGTGAAAATTCCAAGTTGGAAAACTGTAATGCGCACCCTTCAAATAAGATCTTTTAGCCCCCAGAGAACCCGACACACCTATGCATGGATGGTATCACTGTACTCAGGAGATGTTGCTAAACACATATTGGGGTGTTCTTTGGCAGTAACCCTTAAAGTTCTCACTACATGTATTCTTAAATTGCTACGGGTGTCAAAAAAACCCTCACCAATTATTTATTTATTTTTTTACAATTGGCATAGATTGGTGGTAAAATGGTTGCATGAAGAGTCAAAATACTCCAAGTTTAATACCTTAGGTTGTTTTCTTTTAAAAAATATATACATGTGAAGGGTTATTCAGAGATTCCTGACAGATATCTGTGTTACAATGTAACTTTCGTTTATTTTGGGGGAAAAAATGGTTTGGAAATAGTTAAGTGGTACTTATTGTCCTATAACTTGCAAAAAAAAAATAAAAATAAAAAATCTAAGAACATGTTAACACTGGGTATTTCTAAACCCAGGACAAAATTTTGAAACTATTTAGCACGGGTGTTTTTTGGCGCTTGTAGATGCGTAACAGATTTTGGGGGTCAAAGTTAGAAAAAGTGTTTTTTTTTGTTTTTGTTTTTTTTTAAAATTTCATCATGTTCTATAATTCTTTTGATAGTAAGTTATATGATATGATGAAAATAATGGTATTTTTAGAAAGACCATTTAATGGCGAGAAAAAAACAGTATATAATATGTGTGGGTACAGTAAATGAGTAAGAGGAAAATTACAGCTAAACACAAACACCGCAAAAGTATAAAAACAGCCCTGGTCCTTAAAGGTAAGAAAATTTAAAAACGGTCTGGTCACTGAGTGGTTAATGTAACAAAGTTTGCGATTTACCTCCTTACAGAAATAACTGTATATTGGAAAGTCAAGTGAAAGCTGTGCACCACACACCATAAAGAAGAGCAGTAAATGGGGGGGCGTGGCCTGAAGTCCGACCTGAATGGAAGTGTGAGTCCCGAGCTCCTCGCCACCAAGCTAATATTAGCCGTTTTTTAGCCCCCTAACTCACCCTAATGGGACGCACCAGGAAACCGGAGAGCCAGCAGACCCCCAGGGCAGCACCGCCGGCAACTCCATCGGGACCGATGGACGGCTTTTTACAAACCCCGCCGGGACAGAGCCGCGAGGCGCACAGCTCCAAGATGGCGCCCGTCTCCCCTGCCTCCTCCTGTTCGGAGCCGGAACAGCCTACACTGGCTGATATTGGGGCAGAAATCAGGAGGCTGGCAGCCAACATGGTCACTAAATCAGACCTACAGTCCCTGACCACCACCCTCACGGCATCCCTCACGTCCGCTGTCACTGCACTACGCACAGACATGGAGGCACAGGATGGCCGCATCCAAGCCCTGGAAACCCAGGCCCAAGCCGCCCAACGCCAGGCCTCAGCCGCGGACACAGCCCTGACAAGGCAGGGCAACATGCTACTAGCCCTGCGCAGACAGGTCGAGGACCTAGACAATCGCAGTCGCCGCTCCAACATCAGGGTAAGGGGGATGCCGGAGGGAGAGGAGACAGAGAATGTTGCGGAATTACTGACCGCACTTTTCCGCCAGATTCTGGGGAACCAGGCGCCACCAGACATCCGCTTTGAGCGGGCGCATAGGGCCTTGAGACCCAGGAACAGGGATGGGGACCCCCGAGACATTATCTGCTGCCTACACTCATTTCCCCTCAAGGAACGCATAATGCAGCGGGCCAGGACCCGACCCACATGGCGATATCAAGAGGCAGAGGTCTCCTTGTACAATGACCTTTCCCCTACCACATTAGAGGCTAGGCGTGCCCTCAGACCCATCACTACAGCACTAAGGGAACGCAATATCCCTTACAAGTGGGGCTTCCCATTCAGCATCCAGGTGAGACATCATAACGAGTGGATTGCGGCACGCTGGCCAGAAGAAATACCGCGCTTTCTCCAAAGGTTAGAACTACCGTCCATAGCAGTCCCAGACTGGATACTGGAACCGCTTGACCGGGAACCCCGACCCCAGAGACAACCTCGGAATCCGCGGAGAGGCCCCAGAGAGAACCGAACACCTGATATACCCCCACACCCGTCCAACCCAGAAGAATAGCCGCTTGATACCTACATCAGCTCGACTACGATCCTGAGACCTAAATATACGAGCTGACATGGATACACAGCTACTCATACCCACTGCCCAGACCCGGAACCCGAGTGCCCTCCTCCCTGGACGGATGGGATAAACGCACCCGATATAACTTACGCAATTTGGGTGGGGAACGGGAGAGACACAGCATACCATTGTCCACAGGGGAGGGGAAAAGTTGGACACTACTCTTGGGGGGCCTGACTAGTCATGCTTATTGGCAGCCTCACTCACCCCCCACCATCTTCCCACAACGTGAGGCTTGCAAGGGAAACACCGCTACTGGACTATCTTCAGTGGTGGGTAGGCAAGTGGAAAACACCGTGGAGGAGTGTTGCAAGGCTAAAGGGATACAACTTGGCCCGCCAAGATGACAACGGGCCTTTACCGTGCCAAAGCAGAAGCCTGTTCCAGCTCCCCACACATTCAAGCCAACGCTGTTTCCATATGATGGAGGACTCATACTCACAGGTTCAAGGGGGGTCGGTAATTGGGTGAGGGTCAGAACATAGGGAGTCTGTGGGGGGAAGTTAAGCTCAAGGACGCAACATATACAAACGTATACACACACATAATGGGTAACACGAAGCTGATAGGGTCTAGGGAGCCGGGACTCTAGACCGGGGAACATGGAATTAGGGGGAGGGGAATGGGGGGACTGTGGGACACTCATATTAGTATCCGGTACCATTAACATATAGGTGCGGGGGAGACAACTGAGCTATTACCCTTCACTCCCCCACATTTAGGCAAAACCACATAAGGACATGTAAGGATGGGATGAGGTGCAGGCACACATGTTAATCGGATGGTGGGGTTCCGCTAATGTACCGAAGTGTGTATATATGTTATATTGAATGGTGGAGTTCCACTAAATGTACCCAATTGTATATATGTTATGTTGGATGGAGGGGTTCCGCTAATGTACCCAATTGTATATATATCACATGCTCCATGTGGAAAAGAAGTATACCTTAATGTATGACACGCATTAGAGCTGGACGGCCCTTTACCCCTCTTACAAAGATGTCACTTCTGGGCTATAAGGAAGCAACCCCGCCCTTTCTCCCACCCCACACTCGAGAGCCTCATGATACGCGCAATATGACGAGGCGATACCTTACATACACTCCCAACCCCATACCCGGATTTGATATATCATAGATACTGGCCTCGGCCATTGCTAATCGCTGGTGTAGGACCATAATACGACCGAACACTCACCCACTCGGATACACAACACTGTGTGACCCCCCCCGACCAACATCGCACAGCTCCACAACCCAAAACTGACCCACGTTACCCTGGGAGACGGGGGCACACTTTTGAGACATGCTAGAACGAGACATGGATCCCTGCCTCCACACCATAGCCCTTTGTAGACTGCATATGGCGATAATATTGATTGCGGCTGGCAACCCAAGCTATACTAAGACGGGCAAAGACGACATTCAAACACTTTCAGAGAGGTGGCACACCTGTTAGGTAACCTCGGACTCCTGTATCTAATACAACCTATAGAAGACACATCCTAACACATATAAAACGCAAGGACACAAACACTAACCCCCGACAAGTTCGCGTGAACAAACCCACTCCACGGGGAATTGGCAGTTGGAAGCCGTGAGACTTTGTCTGACAGGCCCAGCTGCCGACTGCTGCCGTGGTCACGCGAACCAACCCTCCTTGGAGGGACTCTTGACACCTATCCGTAGGTGCTGGTATCACCTCCCTCTGGAGGTGGAGAACTCATCTTCTCTTTCATACCCCAGCTTGTCCCTACGGGCAGGCAGGGGCTTATCTGTACCCCACGTCTACCTCACTTTACTTTCCTGCCTCACCTCATCCACTCCTCTGACCCAACCCCTCAGCCTCCCCCCCACCCTTACTACCCCCCTCCCATTGTCACAGCAATTGCGGACACACCACGGAGAGGGGATACTCGTGGGCAATAGACTTCTTTTTGAAGTACCAACAAACCGCTAAAGTCCATAGTGACCCACTCACGATCAACATAAATGGCTTACGAACCAGATCCTTTACGCATTACGACCATGAATTGCCGGGGCCTCAATATTCCGGAGCGTAGGTCACAGCTCATACGGGATCTATCCTCTAGACACATATCCGTTGCCTTCCTCCAGGAAACGCATTTTAAGGAAGGAAATGCCCCGATGCTGAAAGGCAAACACTACCCCAACGCGCTCTGTAGTAACCACCCGACCGCACGCAAGGCAGGGGTGGCGATCCTCCTCCATGCTAAGCTACAGTTCCAAGAAAATGACCGAATGTCCGACCCTAATGGCAGATATATATTCCTCAAAGGAGATATACAAGACCGTAGGTACACATTCGCGACGATCTATGTGCCAAATAATAATCAATCGCACTATATCCGCAAAACCCTTCTCAAACTTTCCTCATTCACGGAGGGCACACTGATCTTAGGTGGAGACCTTAACGTACCCCTCATCCCCCTAACGGACTCATCCACTGGACACAGCAGCGTTGCCCAGGGAGCCCTCCGCAGCATACAGAAGTCACTTAAGAACCTTCGACTAGTAGACTGCTGGCGCGCTATGCACCCAGCGGACAGGGAGTACACCCATTACTCCAGGATACATAGGCGATATGCGAGAATTGACTATATCTTCCTCCAACAAGAGCAACTTAACGCAATTCAGAGAGTTGAAATTGGACCTGCAAGCTGGTCGGACCACGGACCGGTGACTCTACAAATGGACTCTCCTCGGATACGCCCATCCACCTGGACGTGGAGGCTCCGAGACTCTCTACTCTTAGACCCAGCGGTGAGGGAACGGGTCACTGAGGAACTCACGTCTTACTTCACACTAAACGCAACGGATGAACTACCGGCGACAACAGTATGGGAAGCCCACAAATGTGTACTCAGGGGCACACTAATGCACTTAGCCTCTAAAAAGAAAAAAGAATCCCAAAGACAGATGCAGGATCTCTTGATACGCATAACTACCCTTGAAATGCAACACAAACGATCCCTACTTGAAGAGACCTATAAGGAATTACTGGAAGCCCGAAGATCACTGCAAGCTCACATAACGGCCCGACACTATAGCTCTTTACAGCGCTCGCGGGCCTTTTTCTATCAACATGCCAACAAGGGAGGGAAACTACTGGCCAGGATGATCAGAGGCCCCCAAGGTATGACACAGGTCCATAAGATACGAACTTCGGATGGCACGGTAACACAGTTCCCAGACAAGATAGCGGCGGAGTTCCGCTCGTTTTACACTTCGCTGTATAACATTCCGGGCCCGACACTCCCGGAAGAGACGGCTGTCAGATATGATAAGATACGAAGTTACATTGAATCCCATGTAGGGACACGACTACCCAATGGGGAGTCGGAGAACCTAGATACACCGATCACCGAAGCAGAGGTAGCGGGAGCCATAAAGGTCTCCAAAACGGGCCGCGCACCGGGACCTGATGGCTTTACTCTAGATTACTATAAAAAATTTCAAGCCATACTTCTCCCGAAACTCACCAACGCATTCAATGCGCTAGTGGGCGGCGCCCAACTCCATCATGAGTCCCTGGCGGCAACCATAACAGTCCTCCCGAAACCGGGGAAGGATCCCGAATTATGCAGCAGCTACAGACCAATCTCACTGCTGAATGTGGACGTGAAGCTTCTCGCCAAGATTCTATCCACCAGAATTGGTGCAATACTACCGAAATTGGTCCATCCTGACCAGACGGGATTCATCCCTGGGAGGGAAGCAAGGGACAGCACTCTTAGGGCGCTATCCATCCATCACCTAGCAAAACGGTCAAACGATAAACTCCTACTATTATCGACGGACGCGGAGAAAGCGTTTGACAGGGTGGACTGGACGTTCCTCACGGCCACGCTTCGAGAACTGGGTTTCGGGGACAATATGTTATCATGGATCGGCGCGTTGTACCAATGCCC